CGCGACGCCGGCGACACGCTCGCCACCGCGCACGCGGCGCCCGCCGCGAGCTTGCCGAAGGTCGCGGCGCCCGTCATCCACTCCTTCTTGGAGCCGCGCGTCGCGCAGCAGCTGAGCTGCGCCTCGCCGCCGCGCGTCGTCCGCTCGACGCGGCAGAAGACGGCGTCGCCGATCGCGAGCTGCGGCCGATTACGCTTCGTCGCGCCGTCGAAGGCGAGGGCGCCGAGGTTGCCGGGCACGGACGCGCCGAGCAGGTCCACGCGGTAGGCCTCGGCGCCCCGGTCCTCGACGATGCCCACGACGTAGTCCTCCTCCACCGGGGCGTAGCGCTTCGGCGCGACGCCGGGCGCGTCGCTGTCGGCGCTTACGAGCGCGTTCGATTTGCGTTTTTTTACGTTCGCGAAGAGCTTCGCGAGGTCCGTGTCGTCGTCGGCCATGCTCTTATCGACGGCCTATGCACTGCACTCAGGCGGCATCATCGCGCCGGCGAGCATGTTGACTTTGGAGAGCCGCCGCCCTGGAGCCGCGTCGTCCCAGGACGTCCTGCGCCGGCCGCGCGCCGTCGTCGCCCGCGCCCGCCGCGCCAGCCGCGCACTCGTGAAACCCCCGCCGGCCCCCAGCCGCGCCGCCGACGAAAAATGCCCAAGCACGCCAAGGTCCGGGCCGGGTCCGGGACCCACAAGCTCATGCACACGGTCCTGACCTACGAGGGCATGGACGGCGTCGAGCTGCGCGACGAGGCCGGCGACGGCGCCCTCGTCGGCGCGACGAGCGTCATGCGCTACCGGGGCGAGGTCGCCGAGCTGCCCGGCGCCGCGCGGTGGGCGCTCGGCGTCTACGACAAGAGTAGCGGCGAGGTCACGTTCGAGGCCTGCGAGGCCTACGCCGTCGCCGCGACGCCCAAGTGCCGCGTCGAGGGCGGTGACGACGTCGCCGATCGGGACAAGTCCTGGCTCGAGCGCAACATCGCGCTCGCGGACGCCTTCGGGACGAAGAAGAAGCAGAAGCAGCTACGCGCGCGCGTCGCGAACATGGTCGACGCGGGCTCCGTCTTCGCCGGCGACGAGCTCTCGTCGACGGTCGCGGGCCTCGCCGAGGCCGCAGAGGCCGCCGCCGCCGCCGCGCCCGCGCCCGCGGCCGAGGCCCCGCGCGAGGACTACGCGCCCCTCTTCGGCGACGAGGCGGTCACCGCGCCCATCGCCAAGCAGCGCGCGTTCCGCCTCGACGTCCAGCCCGACCAGAAGCTGAAGAGTTGGGCGCCCCGCGGACTG